TGTATTAAATACACATCTCGGGTAGGTGTTAACTAGGTGTGAAAAGGTCCCGGTCAAGTTAATCCTCGTCGCAGGTTTAGATAAGATCTTAATCCTCGTCGCAGGTTTAGATAAGGACTTAATCCTCGTCGCAGTCTCCGACGTGATTGCAAGGCCCGACGTGATTTGTAAGCTCCGACGCGTTTGTAAGCTCCGACGCGTTTGTAAGCTCCGACGCGTTTGTAAGCTCCGACGCGTTTGTAAGCTCCGACGCGTTTGTAAGCCCGACGCATTTGTAAGCCCCGACGCATTTTAAGTCCGACGCAGTCTAAAGCACCGACGCAGTTATAAGACGGCCGAGAGCAATAAGACGACATCGGCAGCTGTGTTATATCGTCAACGTACAGTAATTTTGTCGGGATGAAAAAAACACGTTTGCGGCCGTAAACTACACTTAAGCCAGTTAGGCTAAATTAGTAATGTTGAATTAGCTTTTCACACACAGTTTCAAAACATCTGGCAACTAGAACAAAATTAGCTGAAAACCCACAGACGATCCAGTATGTTTGTGTAAGGCGTATACCGGTACATACGGACAGTCAGCGTAACACTTACACAGTGGGCAACTTACCTGGCTTTCAGGCGGTAGACCGAAGACTTCGTCCGGCCTGTCTTGCAGGTAGAACGCCGGGCTGCCGCTCACCACCGTCCCGAGCCCAGCTAACAAAAACAACGCTACCAACATGACTCTATAATCAATTTCAATCGTTCCCCTTGTTGTTGTTGTCGTCTACTTGCACTTTACACCGTTGGCCTGGCTCGTGTGACGAGGAAGTCCCTTACTGTAGCTTCTTGCTGAGGTCGTTGCTCTTTAAATCAAATAAAATGTCACCGGTGTTAATGATTCAACTAAAACTGCCGGACGATGTCGCTCCCTCCTTGCTGCACGTCTCAACCTAGGAACTCAACGAACATTTCGTGGTGCAGGCCTATAGCCAGGTCGGACCTATATAGCTGCTCGCCAATGCCCCGGCGACACGAAAAGACATGGGCGGTAGCGGCGCCGTAATGTATTGCCACCAGCCATGACGGGTGATTTGAAGTCTCCCTAACGTCGAGCTGTGGTAATTTGGAAGACGTTGCCGCCTTCCATCCACTTTTTTTAAGACTTTTAGCAGCCGGTTTGGTACAGAAGTACCGAGCGCTGCGGGGTGGTTGGGCGGGAGCGTCTGCCTTATCTTTGGACTCATTTCCTCCGTCGGTCCGCTGACGCCAACGTTATCCTCACCCCACCTCTATGATCTATGGTTCCTACCGAAACCGCGTAAAGTCGGACGACAGTTTTGACGCACAGCAGTCACCGTATGCGTCACACCAGCTGTAAAATTTAAATTTTAGGAAACATTTCTAATATTTATAGTACATTGTACTTAATGACACCTATTAGGAACAGGACGTGTGTAAAAACTTGCCGTCGAGCCATGAGTGGCCTTGTGTGGCCTTTGAAACTTTCTTTTGTAAGAATAAAACTTGATTATAAAAAGTTAGACTGTTTGGACGGTATCTCATGACCAACGCCCTTCTTATGTGATCTGAAAAGTTCTCTTAGGGTCTCTAGCATCAAAATCATACGACGGCAAAAATATTCGGCTTAAAAAGTACAAAAATATTGTAGTCTTCAACTAAATGCCTCTCAGTATTCTATTTCAAAGCACACGAATGGAAAAAAAGCCTACGCACAAAATACAAACACAACAAAGAACACGCGGCCTTTGTCACTCAGTTCAGTTAATTCTTGGGATTAAAAAACTAATTTCGTTAAAAAAATTGATTCAATTCAAAGGTCTTCAATTCAGGTCAATCAGTTCTTGCTATATATATAAACGGTACAATGATAGGCTCCTCAAGGGGTGCCTCAGATGAAAGACAAAGACACAGTTCTACATAACCAGCTACATTTGGAAAGCTTTTTGATGCAATTAGACCTGATGTTCCTCTCCTTTGCTGTGCTCTTTGATGGAGATGGAAGTGTGGTTATGGTCTGGTCACCTTCGTCGAAGTCGTACAATTTTAATATCAGTAAGATAGTACTTTAGACTTTTCAAACTGGTTAAAAGTCTAACAACCAAACGTTTCGGGTGTTGTTCCAACACCCTTCATCAGTGAACTGAAAACGTAACTATCAATGTTAAAATTTCAATTCACCGATGAAGGGTGTTGGAACTAAACACCCGAAACGTTTGGTTATCAAACTTTTATCCAGTTTGAAAAATCTGAAGTACTATCTTACTGATACTACCCTGGATTATCTTCACAAACGTAATGTTTAATACCGTATACTTTCCAAGCAGAGACTGTGGAAGAATCAACCACCGATAAGGATCTAATACAGTTTTTGCCGTAACAAGACATATCAGCGACGAACGAAAAACAGTCAGAGTATTCCCTCAGACTATTGCAAACGGACCACCCCTCCGACAGTCTTGTACTTGGTTGGTCCCGACTGTTGCGTGTGTGTCAGGCATTCCTGGTGTCTGACCCGCCAGCCAAGTGCGCGCCTTCTGTCCCCGCACCATCCCCGTGCGACCTCCGCAACCAGGGTGAAGAAGTTTTACTCTCCAAGCAGGGGTACGGTTAGGCCTGTTTTCGGCCTTAAAAAGCTTTTCAGGCGTTTTGTCGGGGCTTGTATATTGTCTCCTTTTCTTTGGGTATTTTGTTGGCCCTTGGTTCTGTTAGGCCCGAGAAAGATCTAACCAATGACAGGTGGAAATCATTCAAACATGACTATCCGATTTCGAATCCATAGTATTTAAAACCTATGAACGTTACAATGAATGTATAGCACGAGTCAATATTGTGAAGTCAGTCAGTATAGAATACCGACAACCCCATGCAGACCCTCTGACGAATCCCGACGAACCCCATGCAGACGCTCTGACGGTGAGTCGAGAAATTTCCGACCAATGCCCAGCCACATAGTGCCTATCAGGTTCAAGTCTCCAGCTCCCTGACAAAGTGTGCATTTCCCACGGATTAGGTCACTATAAATTACGGGCTTCTATCAGGCCAGCTGCCGGTCAGTGTCCGGGTTTGAGGCTAGAATCCGGCCTTCGGAACAATTTGCGACTCGACACATGTTTTAACTCTTCCCCAAGTACAGGGGTCAGAACTGTTGACTCTTTCAGCCCCAAAGCCTGGAAGAGTTAAGAATTATAAGATCTTTGAACGCTGGAAAAGAATTTCCGGAGGAAAGCGATTGTTGGCAGAGAGTCGGTTTGGACTTGTGCAACATTTCCATTCATCTTGTCATCATGTATGTGTGTATTACGATTGGAAGTGTTTCAACAATAGTGAAAGGAAGAACAAACAATTTCTGATCAAAAACGTTGTAACGATGGAGAACTGGCCGCCACTTCCAGTGTAAAGTTATTCAACGGGCGACTGTAAATCGGATATGGGATAAGTTAGGATCCGGTCGTACGAAAGTCGCACGATCGTTGTACGATCACAAACTGCTGCTGATGAAATTATTGAGATAGTCTTGCACGTCTCGTACTAAGTTTAGCTGCCTTGTTATCGAAAAAGGCAGCCTTATATTAGATTCTTGTCGGCGGTTGATTCCGTCGCAGTCTCGGCTTGAACATCCTACGAAAGTCGTACGGCGATCTACGACGAGTGTGACCGCGTCCTTACCACCAGCGGCGCAAGTGTAAACAGCTACTGCAGACATTCAGTACTAATTACATCGTACAACCTCAGCCAAACCCCGTCTGATTTAGACAAATCGCACATTGTGTAAGTAACCAGGATTCCTTCCTTCACTCTTTAGCACAAACAGGAAATCTGGAACAGCTGGCAGACAGACTTTACCCATGTGTTCGTGACATTACACAACGCTCCCGACCAATCTATATTAACTTCTGAAAGATTGTTCTTCTAAAGCTAAAGGTCATTCATTATAGGACTCACCATGAAGGTGGGCCAATTAGACTAAAGCTTCTTTAAATATTTGGGGACACGGGGTGGGTTTAAGAGATGAGGACGTCCACATGGGGAGCCTAAGATCTAAGATGTGATGTGAGGGTTTGTTTTATTCTCCAAGCAGAGGTTGTTTGGAACGTTGTCGGGCTTTCGATTTTGTCAGCTTTTCTTTGGGTGTATGTACAGCACTGGCCTCAAAACCTAAAACGCCCCAAAACAAGCCTTACCTCTGCTTGAAGTAGGTCGTGTGTCCTTATGACTTCTTTGTACATACCCTTGGAAGTGGAAACATCTGCGTGATGTTGTATAGGGTGAGTCGTGCTGAAATTTACGGCAACTTTTAACACAGCCCTCCAAGTTTAGCAAGATGGTGCACTGACCAAAACGTTGCCATGTGTTTACAATGTACACCCACTGCAGTCCCTTTCACCCATTGTCACCGCACAGTGCCAAAACTGCCTCGGTCAACTCACCAATGACTCAGCAAGATTCAACTCACCATGATTCAGCAACATGTAGTTTATGGTCTTTTATGGGTCTAAGCTAGTCGGCACAAGGACGACTTGAAAAAAAAAACTCACAGTACGTCTAACAAGACAAAACAAAGCTCCACGATAAATATTAAAGGAGTACTAAAGTCCAGAAGGGAGTGCTATTTTCCAATAGATTGTGCTTCAATTAATACATGACTAGCCGACTTCTTACAGAATTTCGCTAATGCGACTTGCGCGGAGCGTGTTTGTAAAGCGATATCAACCATTTTCCCCCATGCTGAACCACAATTGATACTCCCTTGTGTACAACATGGCCTACATTTGTTCCAAAATCAAACCTCCTGACTTCAAGTTCCCATTGCATCTAAGCCTGGAAGCCAGACTGTTGTTTAATAGAGCTTATAAAGGTCAGCTTATTGGCTCCAGAGTCAATATGTCCCCAAGTAAATTTTACAGCAACATGGTCTAACTGATGAGGAGGTGTCTGTGGTAAAATTTCGTTGGGAGCCCGTGTATGCCCTGGAAGCTGTCTGGCAGCCAGACTGCTCGAGGCCCTGGCCACCCCTGTATTTGGAGGAAAAGTGTTCTCGTCCCGCCCTCGTCGCCTTATGCAACACAGAACCCGCATCTCGTGCCTTCCGCCACCCTTGGCCAGCGCCAACAGGCCTTGAGACAAGTCTCCGCGCAGACGAGACAAGTACTAGTTCACCTCGCGGGCTTCGACAAAACTTCCAGCTTCTTCTGGCACCAGGACAAGTAAGCAGGGAACTCCAGCGGGTGCCATGAAGACGGGGGTGACGCTTGCGTGGGCTCTGCTGGCTCTGTGCGCCCTCGCGACCCAGACGGACGCCCGGACGCACCGCCGCGGCCGCCATCATCGCTCATGGCGGCGCTCGAGGGATTACATCCACGATATCATCCTGCCGTGGTCCCGGTGGAAGCCCTGGTGGTCAGATTGGTTTTCGGGAGACAGGGAAGGATGGTGGTCAGGGTAGGGACCATATACCAAAAGTATTGTATACTTGATTCATCTACACGTAGCTCTGTTCATTTGTGTGACAGTTCTAAGAAGTTACGTCTCGCTAACAAAAGTTCGAAACTTGATGAAGACTTCGCTTTTGTGTATGGAGGGCAACGGTGTCATTTCTGATTACACGGAAGCATGGCAGATTTGGACCGCCGCCTGGGCTGGCTTTCACCAGTAATCTCATGATCCAGGTGTAACACCCAGCGGGTTTCCTAACTACATTGTATAAACGTTAACCTCTTACAATCATTGAATGTCCCTATATCGCGAATGATATGCAACAGTTGATGATAGAACTAGTTTTTAGGATCATCCGACGATATGTTGTGCTCTCAGTTAGGTTTTCTCAGTTCAAGTTATTGAGTTCACTTTGCCGGAGACTGTTGACTGTTCGAAATCTTTTTTAGCCCTCTACTCTTCGCAGAGACGTAACTTCGCAGACGTATTTGCTGACACATACGCGATCAGTGATGTGATCTGCGTTTCAATGTCAGATACCCGGGTGTGCTCAGTGTGTTCAGAACTTGCATGCGAGACCGTCAACTTCCCAGGCAAACCACGGTGGGCAAACATAGCTGTGCATTATAATGCTCAGACGCCTCCAGAATGCACTCCGAATCGAGACATGACAGCCTTGTTGTTTTGGGCCAAATTTCTAACGTGATATCTCTTGGGTTTCAGTCAGGCTGTTTTCCGATTATACTATTTTTTTCTGATTGTCTGATGGCGCACTGTCACTGTCATCCTTACTGAGCGCTGAGTTCTCACTAACTTTGCTAAAATTTTCCTTGCGGGTATGTTGGTTCTGGAACCGAGGGACTGGCCTGGAAACAGTCTGAAATCCAGGCTAGTCGTTACCAAACTTCTTACCTAATGTGTTATTGTATACAAAGACTGACAACTGAAGTCTGGGTGACACATAGGGCGCATGCGAGTAAACCACCTATTATCTAACTCACTGTGCACGTTTTACATAACTTGTTTTCGCACGAAAAACGGGGTTAGAAAAAAAGTTTCAAACTCGTGTTTACATGCGCATAATATTACAACTCAACTACGTCACCGCTGATCATTATTGGTACCCTTCAGAAAACTGACAGGAAAAAATTAAACGCCAAGGTCAACCTTGTGACTAGCAGCTAGCCCCGGGAGTACGCCCATTACCTAACTGATCTATAGCCCAGAACATGCGTCATCATTTTGAGAACAAGGAGGTTCTGTGGGTTTCGAACCCGTGACTTTGAGTTAATAGCTTGTGTGGGATGTAGGGGATACGGAAATGAGGCTTATCGTAGTCTTCCATCAACATCTGGTAATTTCTTACGTCAGCTTGTTTGTTGATCGTATCAGAAAAGGATCAATCAAGTTGAAATGGAAATACAAAAGATTGCCGTTAGTTATTGAGCAAATCGCCTTCGTTAACCACTATACAGTTGATCGTATCCAACTGTATTGTAAGGTCAAATCCAGCAAAACTGCCATGATTGCGTGCCAATAGAATTATTCTCCACAAGCAAATCTTTTGGTGGTTCCAAGACAGTGTCAAATTGGCAAGACAACATCATTGACAGGCATACAATATCCAGTACGACCACTTACCTAAAACACGTACGTCAAAAATTAGCCGAAGCCTAAACCTCTGCATGGAGAGTACAATTGAGTCACAACGATTTCACTCTGATGGACAATATGGATAGGGTTTCTTTATATTACTGTTCCGAAAAGTTTCGTGAGTCCGTATAGTTTCTTATCTTAACCTTTGGAGGATATTTCTGTATCAATACGTGTTTGGTTGTAAGTTAAAGTTTCGTTGAAGTTTTCGTAGAAACTTGCGCAGTTTCGTAAGGTATTGACTGATATCAGGGTAGAGAGATTGAAGGTCGTGGCCTCAGGGTCGCTGACCTAGCGTCAGTGCCAGACTTGCCGAGAATCTGTCAGTAACTAGTTATTCCAACACAGCTTGTGTCTCCTGGCAAGGGTGACTTACACTGACCAGCTGCTCCAAAGAATTAAGGTTTACATATATCTGAAGCGCGCTCGCGTCCGTGCCAGCCTGTAGCCCTGTTAGGCCCTAACTCTGTGACAATAACACATTGCAGAAAGTTGTGTGAACGGTGAAAGTTACATTATAAATCCGAATTGAGACACAGGTGGGACGCAAGGACAGTATTGTTTGTGTTGAAAGAAATCCTTATCATTGCAACATGGCCATGGACTAAGTAACGGAACTTGACTGTATATAAAGCCGTACCGTGGTAATGTTAAACAATGACAAATATCCGCAGAACCTCACCCCAGAGTACTCAAAGTTCGTATGGAATGGTTTAGTATGTAAGGAAGTTGTGTAAGCTGTGATACGATATGTTGTGTCTTGGGATGTATGAACTTGTTGCTGTATCCATGTCTGTCGGGGTCATGGTCTATTTCCTTAGCTACATCGTCCCTCCAGCTACTCATGTAGTCAGTAATCTAAACCATCCGTGTTGTGTAACTTACAAGAAATATTCCTTAGCCACATCGTCCCTAAAGTGACTCATTTAGTCAGTAATCTGAACCATTCTCCATGGGTTACAAAATCAGGACAAGACATGCAAGATACATCGGAACAAATGGTCCGATGACGTCACAGCCACGTGACGTCACATCCGTACCAGGGGCCAACTCTCGGTACCAGGGTACCCAGGTCTCTCCTTACCTGGCACCAGCCCAGCAGACAACGACTTATCAAACCGCTGATCCACTGATAGCTCTTTCAAACATCTTTAGAGAACCCCTGGTCGCTTTCCAGTATTTTAATCATGATGACATTCGCCATTTTGTAAGATAAAAAGGAAAAGTATGATGTAAAAGAAGAAGTTAAGAACTTGCCGCTTCCGTTAATGTCATATTTGAAAGTTCATTATGGGTTCACCACACCACGAAGTGGTGTGGTGAAACCATATTGCTTTTTCTGATGTTTCTTCTCCTTCTCCTCCTCCTTCTCCTCCTCCTGCCATATCTTTAAATGGATTCAGCTTCTTCATTTTAGGGCCTAAGGTCCTGAAATTTGGTATGGAGGTACAGTGGGCAAATACCCCTAGGCGTTTTTTAAATTATTGTGATACAGGCTTTTAGAATGGTTTTATTTGAGTTTTTGGCTGTGTAATAGCTAATGTATTACTGTGTAAGTGTGCAGTGTTTACCACATTTGGACATGAGTCATCACAATGGCATGCAAGGCATCAACCAATAGGCATGCAGCTTTCCTCTATTCTCCTTGCTGATTGGCTGTTGGGATTTAACTGGCTTAACTTCATTTACACCTGCACAGAGCCATGCCATACTGACAGTATGTCTGTATTCAAGTGTTTTGGTAGGTATTTTAAGCTTTCCTGCTCCAGCATTGGAATGCGGGCTATGAACGCTTCTTTTTATCTTGAAAATCAACAGTTTGCATTATGCAATCCTAACCAATAATGTAGGGAATAGCTATCCAACTGTTGTAGTCTTAGTTGTATGTTACTTCATACTATAGTTATATCAATGTAAAGCATTGTTTTCCCTTGTGTTTCTCATTCTTTCCCTGCCATGTGGTAAAATGTGGTGAACCCATCGCTATATTTGCTCCAAAGCAAATATTGGCCTTTCTAGTTCCAATTAAGCTGTCACGCCATTTCTTCGAAATTAGAGTTCCACACTCCATCCTTTCTTTTGAGGGCCTGCATTTATGTGTGTGTGTGGGGATTACGAATTACGCAAAATTTTCGCCGCCATTAACGGGTAAATTCTCAGAGCTGATTAACAATTACGCGTTACCGCTTATACTGCTTACGAATTACAATGATTCTGTGCGGCTTCCTACGGATGACGTAGATTAAAAATGGCTGATTACGCCTTACGAAAAAGGGCATATTTATCCTCATTCTTTCCACCACAAAGGCGCGTTAAACCGTCCGTCTGTCGTGTTTTGTCAGCGCCAGGTTCGGAACTGTCGTCAATCTGGTGTCTGCCGACCGCGTAATCACCATGACTGGCACAGACTAGAAAATACAGCGCCCACCGTGATTCGCCTTATCGTAACCCCTTAAGAGGGGGGAAGTGGGGCCTTTACCCGAGTTTCTTGGCGAAGTTACAAGGGGAATTAATCGCGTGCGTCTTTCATACGACACATTTCCTTTAGGAACATTCCGTTCAGTTCCTTTCTGTCCAGAAATCCAGACTTCTGGGAAGTATTTTGGGTTTTCGCAACCTACAAGTTTAAAAACCGCCGGAAAGCGTTTTGGGTTTTCATGAATGTATTGGAACTGCAATGTAGTCAAATCAGATATTAGTACAATGTATTGCACCACTTCCTGAATTCCTCCACATACCGCTCACTTACTCCCACCCGCTGCCTGCAGGGCGACCGTCGCTACTTGGACAAACAGGCACAAACCCACAATTCATCCACCCAAAACAATATTCCCTACCCGGAAGTAAACTATGTTTATTTATCCAGGCCCAACGTCTGTGAGACGAAGGAGGGTGACGCCGAGGCGCTGCCCGGTGGGGAAGACTTCATGCTGAAGATTAAGGAGTGCGGCAGTGGAGACGACGGTTCCTACAGGTGTACATACAGGTGGGTCTGACGGCAGGTATCCTGACCACCCCTGCACTTTCAACATGGGATCGCCCCACCCGAAGATCCCTGGGAACATTTTTTAAAAAGTTTTATAGATGTTTAGTAACCTAACGAACATACACGACGACATTAATAGAATGAGTTAGTCCTTACCACTAAAACCGAATGGCTCCCATAAAGCAAAGGTGCAAAGAGGCACATTTAAAACAAAACCTCCGTACACTGAAGTAACAGTTTATATGAAACATCAGTTGTACTGTCCCTCTCACAAGCTCCCGGTGTTGAGCCTAATCCTTGAGCTGCCACATACGTGAGAAGTCAGGTGTTTAGGGCTAGGGTTAAGGTTAGGGTTGGTATTAGAGTTAGAGTTAGGGTTAGAGTTGGTATTAGAGTTAGGGTTAGGGTTAGAGTTGGGATCATTGTTCATGGCTAGGGTTAGACGTACGATTGGGGTTAAGTTAGGTTAGGTTTAGTCTCCCACATCACGACTTAACTCCTCCCACCCGTTGCTGCAGGTATATTGGAAACCCCCAAGTAGTGTCGGAGTCATGTATTTGGCAGGATCATGTATATGCCTTGACACCGGGCGCGAGTCCAAGTTAGCGGTTGAGTGCGTAGGCGTATGTAAACCGGAGTGGGGGATAATTCATACCAATGACAGGCCTGGATTCAACACTTTAACGTTATATCAACGTCACATCTAATTGGGAAATTTCAGGAGCCTTGGGAAAATCCAGTCTTATTCGTAGACCCTGTGTGCATGCAATATGGAATTGAACAAAACTCGGATAAACGTATTGAGAAAAGGATACGTTGAGAGTAACTGAATTCCAAACGTCTCTGAATGTCCGGTAATCCACACTCCAGCCATCGTCAGGTTCAAATGACCAATCCATTAGGACACGTGACCTTGGCACCTGACGAATGATGCAGTACGGACGGTTGAAATAGACTGATTTTTGGACAAGGGCCAACCACACACACTGTCAGACGGTCTTTTATTTTGACTTAAACCGTCTTATGTCAGCGTAGACTAGCGTATGTTTTAGATTTAAAACTACCTCTCCCTATAACCACAGCATGTTTGACGATGACATTGTTGTGTGACCTACAGGGCAGACGACTTCCAGCAGAAGTACAGCGCCACCATCACATACCGCTGCTGTGCCGGGTTCGCCCGCCAACAGGGCAAGCCTGGCTGCCCTCTCAGTAAGTCGTTAGATACCTCGAGGAAAAATGGAAGTATTGTTTTTGGTCTGTCTATTTGTGTGTGTGTGTGTGTGTGTGTGTGTGTGTGTGTGTGTGTGTGTGTGTGTGTGTGTGTGTGTGTGTGTGTGTGTGTGACTGTCTATGTCTGTTTGTATTTCCGCATATTTGTGAACAGCATTACATGTACTTAAGAAGGCGCCTGGATGGATTTTAATATTCTTTACGGTAGTGGGTAGGTTTTGAGAAGACAAAATGCAAGGTGTGATCTTGGCTTCCTAGTGGCTTCCCTTGGTACAACCGAGGAACCTCCGGGTTTTGAATCTTTTGTCATAGGCACGTTAGGGTTTTGATTTGAATGGCAGATAGCTTTTCATGTGAGATAAAGGCTGGAAGAAGTATTAGTATAGGGAAACGTGATGTAACGTTGACGATGTCTTGAACTTATTTGAACTTTAATTAAGACGTTAATTGAAACGTCTTACTTCGTCAATGCAAAATGATAGGTTGACATTTCATAATTCAAGTTTCATGGTTTGTGATCAAAGTTGTTAACAACTTGTTATGTCTTTGGTTGTATAGAAGTAGCCGAGCTGAAGAATCTACTGGATACTGCACAAGACCTGGGGCTGTCGGAGTTCGTGTCTTACGCGGGGAAGGCGAAGCTGGAAGGCGCCCTGACCGGCCTGAACAACTTCACCGTCTTCGCCCCCACCGACGGCGCCTTCCAGTCCATCCCCACTAGGGTAATCACTGATTTCGAGTCTCCCTCAAAAAGGGCGATCCCGGAAAGGGTAAATTGTTTTTTTACGGAATCTTTCCCGCCGTTTTCTGGGGAGACGCTGGTAGTGTTTCAACAACGTGGTTTATCACAAGTTACCTGGTAAAATGGCTCCAGAACAAACGCCTGTCCTCTGTACACAATATAGCCACAACTGGATTTTATGGATAACCATGGAGGTAAAAAACACACTTGATTTGGAATTTCGGCCGCCATATTCAAATGTACCAAAGCGAGGCTGCCCTTGGTGTCACATTTAGCTTCCACATGTCGTCTGCCATCTGGCTTCTTTGACGTTTGAAGAATACATAAACCACAAAAAAGTTTTCCGCAAGTAAAAATACGTTGTGAACTATTGGTTATAGAAATTAAACCTATTACAAAACCAATAAACCTTTTTTATTAACTTTTTATCAAGCCGATTTTTGTCATGTTCGTAAAGTCCAGTTTGTGTGGACTGGTTACGACAGGAGCTGTTTAACTAGACTAGCTTTCTGAGCACAGCATCACAGACTGACGTCACCCACCTATTTGTACAGAAAACGTGCACACGTTGGTGCCACGGCGTTTTTAGAAAGTCACAGTACGCTTTCTAGTGATCACGAGACGATTTGACCTGCCTGGACGGTTAGCTTATGATGCTATGCATGGTAACCCATTTTGCTGCAACGGTGCCAACGTACCCTTTGTGAATGAAGAAGCGGCACAATTTCATCATCATCATCAGCATCACCATCTTCATCATCACCCTCCCGTCATCATCAGCACCTGCATGACGTTAGAACAACACCATGTCCATCTGCATCGTCATGATAGCCATCGGTCACATCAGCATCAGACATCACTGCATCATCATCATCAGTAGTAGTACCACCGCCATCTTCCTTATCACACTCGTACTTCTGCTTTCAAAACTGTGACTGGTACTTCCAAACGATGGCTTAATGTTGCTTTCAAAAGCTATAGCTTTATGCTGATCTGTAATGCCTAGTCTCTCTTTCTTGTTTCACAGTTTAAACGCTCTTATATTTCTAACTAACTTCCAGTTACCTGAGGTACAAGTATCCTACACTAACATTATGAGCAATAAAGGCCGATATCATATTTAACGTTTATTTAACAAGTTGTGCTCATAGTCCCTCATTGGGATAAGTGTACTCGTATTTTGTAGACAATTCTATAACCGTGTCCAATCTATTGGTACTCCCTTGTACACCTACATGTAGGGCGACACCCCAGCCCTGACCCTGGACCAGCTGAAGGACACGTTGTTGAGTCACGTGGTGTCCGGCTGGCTCACGACTAACGACATCAAAGATGAGGAGATCCTGAGGACCATGGGGCCGGGAGAGATTCGCACAACGGAGTACCAGAACAAAAAGGTCGGGGTTTCTCTGCATTTTGGACAAGAAATCGGAGACTTCCGGGAAGTATTTTGGGTTTTCGTGACCCTGAAGTACACTAACCACCGGGCAGTGTTCAGTTTTCGGTTTTGAAAGGGAACTGTGGACACCTCCCATCCTCCTTGTAACCGTCGCTATTTGGACGAACAGACACACAAACCCACAACTCAGCCACCCATAACAATACTCCCGAACCCGAAAGAAACTAATTGACTGCCGAAACTTTATGAAATCAGAATGTATGGTAAACGTTAACCTGGTATCCAGTCTATCGTGGTTGGGGCGGGTTTTCTTCGGGGCTGCTGAAGCTCTTCCCCGCCCGCCTGGGCTAGGTTCCCCAGTAGGTTTTTCACGGCGGGAGTTTGATTCGCCATTGGTGGGGAGTGGCAACACTCCTACCGGACGGTCTGTTAAGCTGGGCGGGGGAAAACTATTAGAGCCCCGAAGACAGCCTGCCCCAACCACGATAGACTGCACACCAGACTAGGTAAACGTGAGATACGCGTTTTGCCGTTCTGCAGATTGTGAACGCCAACTGTGTGAAGATCGTCCGGACGGACCAGCTGGCCAGTAACGGCGTCCTGCATGTGGTGGACGGCATCCTGCCCAACACCAAGAGATCCGTGCTGGAGATCATCAGCCAGGACAGTCGCTTCACCACCCTTAAGACAGGTGTGTGTTTCATTTCACACAATACAAGTTTATAGTGCGTGAAATGTATATATAGTGGCCATCATACGTACAGTTAAATACAGCTGTCTAGTATGTTCTTGTTCGTTGTAAGACGTAGAAATACGAGTAGCATATTATTGGGCCTGCACATTTCCCTCAACATTGTATGCTTTTATTGTGTTATAGATATAAGTTTACTAGTATTAGTTTATTTATATTATTACTTATTTTGTTTATATTAGATGCTTTAACGTTTCCTAGACGTAAAGTGACGTTTGCTACATAGGATGAGTAGGATATTGTATCTTCGTCTCTTTAGTTTACTGATTTTCCCACAGCCTTGGGTAAGACTGACCTGTCCAGTGTGCTGGACTCGGACGGACAGATGACCGTCTTCGCTCCCACGGACGCGGCCTTCGACGGCGTGCCCGAGGAAACCTTGAAGAGGCTGCTGGGAGACGAGAGATGTCTGAAAAGTTAGTTCCTTTTCTCCATGTTTTTCACTGCTACTTTGGTAGTTAAGACTGTGTTACACATTCTCTCCCTGTCAGGGACTGATTGGACCTCAAGAGAACCATTCCCATTCCCAGAACTACCGATAGGAGCTCAGGATTCTTCATCACTATGAAAATTAGTCCAATAGGAGTTCAGATTTCTCTGTCACCATGGAAACCAGTCATCGCAGCCTCCAACACTACCGTACCAATTCTCAGTTTGATAATAGTTGGTCCGTATTTATCAATAAACAAACAAACAAACAAACAAACAAACAAACAAACAAACAGTCAATCGCACGTTAATCACACAGCATTGGGTTGTGTTCCCAGTTCTCTTGGTGTTGGCATGGTCATCAAGCTCCGACGCGCTTTGAGTGGATACCCCGGTAAAAAGCCGTCAAAACATGGCAGTTGCGATGTTGAAAATGACAAATAATCGTCAAAAAACGCGGCAATCTTAAAACGACGCCCCCGTACAGCCGGGACTTTGTAGCCGCCAGACTAACGCAGTCCATTTCACAAAATTGATGTGTGTGGGATAATTGGTAGTTTTCTGCCAAAAGGACAGCAGGCGAGACAAACTAATAAACAAATGTGACTCCAGGCGCCGGCCACTCTGGCATATATAATGGTTTGTAGAAAGGTCAAGCCTGGCCTGAGGTAAAACGGGGCACTTCACACAATCACAGAAACTGCTTTTATGTCCGCTTTGTTTGATGTTTTAGTCAGTGTTGGAGTAAATCTAGAACAGCAGCAACAGTCGTTGACCGTCTTTCGGTTTACCCTATTTTTAAGTCGCCATTCTTGGATGTTAGATGTCCATGAAGTGACAAAAATGTACACTACAGCGGTAACGTACAGGGAGGGAGAGCTGCACATTATTTGTGTGGGAACCGGGTCGTATGTCCGTCTGCCTTGCTTCAGCCATGCGTTGTCAGGTGGTTAACAATCCAGCTTTTGAAGTCGTTCAAGTTGCGAATCTGTCAGGACGAACGTTGTGACACTTCTCTAAAGAATTTTTTCTATATACATGTAATGGTGAATTTCTCGCTGGTTTTGTAAATTCCACTGTTGCGCACATGCAATACTCGAGGTTTTGGGTTCTTCCAGCCAATGACTACGTATACCATTCGTTTTCCCATGGAGTCAGCCTCAAAGGAGTATATTTCTACCTCCAGTTCGACCTTCCTGTCAATCTGTGGTTTCACAATTTAATTTCTCACTTCTGTGACTGTATATATTGAAATAACTACGGACACATGAGTAAACATAATAGCTAACAGAGGAACGGTTAAGTACAATTTTTTATCAAAGTTTAAGCCCTGTGTTTTCTTCGCAAAAATACTAAAAAAATTGTTTGACCCACGCCCTTGCAGATCTGCTGTTGCATCACGTGATCCCGCACACCATCTGCGCAGACGCAGTGACGGGCAGACACCGCTCGGTGTCCATGGCTGGGGAGGACCTGAAGGTGGAACGGGACTCGGACGACAAGATATTTGTCAACACCGCCCAGGTAAACAACAACACCATAATTTGTTGATTAAAGGTTACATATTGCTTCTAGATTGTAAACATGTTGAATATGCACTAGTACCTTTTAATTCTGTCAATGGTTTAATTAATTGCGCATGCGTGGTTGACTTAATAATTGACTTTACTTGGAAAACAGCTTTGCTTTGTCTTTTGATCAACGTTTTTAATGACCTGGTAATGTGCTTGTTTGTTTTCGTTTATTTGTTAATTTGTGTATTTGTTATTCTTAGGTCATACAAGGCAATGTTATGGGCTACAACGGTGTTGTTCACGTCATCGACAATGTTCTGATCCCAAATAAAGGTTTGGCATCCGATCTTAGAAATGAGTTTAGATACATCCTGATAATTCCACACTAGATTATCATACCCATATGATTGTTATATGGATAAGAATATGCCTTTTTTTCTGATTTTACTTCAATGTTCTGATTATATAGCGTTACGTTACATATTTCGATAATTATGTGTAATTACACAGCGCGAAACGTCATTGACGTCCTGAGCGCTTCCGGGGCGAGTCGCTTGGTGGAGCTTATCGAAGTCGCCGGCCTGACGGACACCCTCCGTTCTCAGGACAACATCACCATCTTCGCCCCCTCCGACCAGGCAATCCAGGTGTGTGTGTAAAACTCCCTACAAAATGCCGACCCTGACTGCTAATTAGCAGTTCAACCAATGAAGATTATGTTTTATGATGATCTGTGTGTGTTTATGGTCTTCAAATTTCGAATGGTCGTAGTTTATTTTCTGTCGGTTTAGGAGTTGCCAGAGGAGACAGTGAAAGCTCTCACCAGCAATCCGGCGGCCTTAGCTGAGGTGCTGCAGTACCATGTGGTGCCGCAAGCGGCGTCCGCCAAAGATCTACGGAATGGGGCCATGCTGCCGACTCTAGGGTCGTCCAACAAGCTGCATGTTTCAGTGAAGGTTCGTAATTACCTATTTTCCACTATCAAAAGTACTTATTAATTAGGCATATCAACACGTGTGTTTAGACTTTTGTATACACTTATATTTTGACCTTATTATAGGAAACAATATTTCATTGGTGCAATTTGTCATTTTTATCGCTCTTTATCTACAGGACTGGTTCTTCCACACCATCGTGAACGTCCAGTGCGCACGCGTCGTGAAAGCCGACCAGGGAGGCTGCAACGGAGTTGTTCACGTGATCAACAAGGTACAGAATTCTTTTTGATTGAATCTTTCGCCACGCGACATCTTTTGAATTTTGGCCATGGGCTACCTCACTTTTTGTAGAGTGAGCCCTGCACGTTTAACCCTAGGTGTTACTCTAGCTATTACGTGATTATGTCTCAGGTAAGTCTGACTGGTACGTCTGGGAATGGTTACCTAAACAACAGCCATATATATGTATGTCGGTAAGCTGTCTAAGGGTATGGCATCAGTAACAAAAACATATTGATAGACCAAACTCACCGATAACCCGAATTTACAAACAGATTTTAATGTATCTCCCAGGTAGCTAATACCCCTGGCGTTGTTTGCTCAGGTCCTGGCGCCGCCCACCCAAACCCTGGCTGACTTACTGGACGGTAACGAGACGTTCAGTATCCTGGTGAAGGCCCTGCGGCGGGCGGACCTCATCACCGCCCTGCAGGGGGACGGCCCCGTCACCATCTTCGCGCCAACCAACGAGGCCTTCAAGCGCATCCCGGACGACACGCTGGACAACCTGCTGGAAAACACCGAGGCGCTCGTCAAAGTTCTCAAGCACCATATCGTGGACGGTAAGTGTGAAGAAAGCATTTGTTGTACTGTGCATTATATATTGCACTGTAAATAAGTAAGGGTGGAATGTAATCCCACTTCTTGTGGAGTGAACCCTGCATATTCAACTCCAGAAATGCGGTTGAAAATAGAGGTTGGGGTAACTTGAAAATGGTAAGAATGCCCTTCGCTGAATTCAGGCTACGCATTACGTTAAGTTCGGCAGGCTGACTTCGCTTAACGTTAAGATCAGTCGCCGCGCTCTATTAGAATGCAACAATTATGCTCTAATAAATTTGATTAGAGCATAATTAGGCTACCAATGACTATAGGAATTAAAATAGCTAATTACGATTTACGTTAAATGGCACACAGACCTCATTTCTGACCTGACATCTAGAGTAGTGATTTGAGATTAAACGGTTTGTTTCCACAGAGTTCCTCTGCTGCGATTCTTGCTTCAGCCGTCGCGGGAAGTTCCGCCAGGTGTTCCGGAGGTCGCAGTTCTCCTACTCGGCGCGTGGCGGCGCTTCTGTCGCCAGCTGCGACACCTTCGGGACCAACGGCGTCATCCAGGTCATCGACCGCGTTCTACGCCCTCCCGGCGTGCACTTCAACAACTAGAAGACAAGAGAAGGTGTCAATATTTACTACGTCGGATCCGCACTGTCCATCACAATTAGCAGTTCAACCAATGAGAGAATAGTAATTAGTGGTTCGACCAATGACAGAATCGCTGCTTGTCCGTCAAATACTAGTACTAGTACTTGTATTACCATGTCCTACGTTGTGACGAAGTGGGCGGGGCTATGGGATTGGTCTATACCACATCACATGACCATACAAAACGGCGTATTTACCTCGAGTCATCATGACATGAATGAGTTTGTAAAAAAAATATCAATTTGCATAAATGATTTCTTTACATAGTAGTGGTCGAATCTGTGTCGTATGCTTAGCGAGGACACCGTGACTTAGAAGTTAGTGTTGCTGGTACAACTACTAGCACTTAAAACGTTTTCTATAACTTTACGGATGTAAAAACAAAACTTCTTTCTCGTATCTTTCTCACTAAAACAATTTGATAAGTAGACTTGCAAGAAAGAAGTCAGTCTTGGATTGAATTAATTAGCGTTTAATGTTTTGATACAGAAGAAAAATAACAATGTTACATAAAATTCTGTTTGTTTTGGTGAATATTGATAATTGATAAGATTTACAAATAGAAATATAGTCTATTCAAGCACAAAAGTGCCCTCTAGATCTAGATCTAATGTTCGTCCAACATCACACCAAGACAGCGCTATTTTGATAGTTTTAGAATCTCACTTTATCCATGGTGTTTTATATACACTGTGCTAGTCAATGTGCTGATTTAGAGACTACAAATACACACCAATTCACTATCCTTGTCTGTTGTTTTCTGTCACACGCTTGGCAGGGTAATGTAAAAAAGGGTCACAACTTACCGAAGTTTGTTTCGAACTTTTGTCAGTAAATTTTACTCATTTGCACCTGAGTCAAGTGAGGAAATAGGAGGTGTAAAGTACATTTCTTAAGTGCACAACCGTGGGGCCTGCTATAGGCACTCAAACATAGAATCGTCACATAATCAATGACCTCAACAACAACAACTCATTTACAAAGTTCATGACATTTTGGAATTTGTACCAATTTATACAATGCCGGTACCACTTTGGCCTAATTATGACCTCGTAAAATCTGCAAAAAAAGTAGAATTCTATTCCTCGGAGTAATCAACACTTCGTTAACTTACGTCACTCGTGCATAGATTTGGGTAAAAACTGAACAGATGAACAGTTCCAAAGCAATGATGTAGACCCGTACTTCCTTTGTCCACGAGTAACCCAATAAAAACGCTTCTAATGAGAACCGTCCAGGATGCGGATGAGCTGAGCCCTGTGATTAGTCCACTCTTTGTTCGGACCCAGGTGTATGTTGATTCAATCAGATTGAGTTTCAAGGTGACCCACCGGATTTCTATAAATGCTTGTTTGGCAGCATAACATTATACAGTTGCCACCAGAGTAGGAAGGTTGGTAGGTTAAGTAGGACCGATCGCGATGGAGAGGGTCTGCACTTGGGTGTTCCTGGCGGCTGCCGCGCTCGTCAGCGCAATCCTCGCCGCTCCTCTAGCGCTGAAAAGTGTGCAGGAACTCACGGTCGAAAAGACAGTAAGTCTACGTCTATTTTATTTCTACTTATCTACATAGGTTTAGTTATTTTAGTCGACGATCGTAGCCACATTTGAACTGTGAATTTCTGGTTAAAAAGACGGCTCCGTATTTCGCTAAGGTTCATGTATTCTAAAACGTTCTCTGAAAGGGTCATTCTAGCGTTTCTTGTGTGTGTCAGTGTAAGAAATCCGATGTATAAGTTTTATTTCAGTCGAAGGAGGCTTAAATATATGAGTCCTATAACTTACTGTACTGGAAATATAAATATGATTTCTATGAGAACTACACTGACACCGTTGTTTTTCCCCAGCCTACGTGTAAGGACGGAGACGTGCCGGCGGCCGTGCTGTTCAAAGCTGCCGACATGCGGTCGGAAACAGACCGGCGGCTCAAGACTATTCGGGCCGAGAAAGAAGTCCTCCACGCTCAGCTCTGCGGGGATTCCAACAGCGGCTTCCTGGAGAGCTTGGAAGATGCTAGACAAGAAACGGCAAGGATGATCGGTTTGTCAATTGGTTTTCACCATAGTTATCTCCTACTGAACCTTTAAAAACAAGGCAAAGGTAGTCCCCTAGTCTTTTTGAGGCCATAGGGGCAGTGGGTTGTTGATCCACTGTATTGAAAGGTTGACTCCATCCCTCTCCTTCCACCGCCCTTTACTTCCGCAACAGAAGTCAGGTACCCATTTTACACCTGGGTAGAGTGAGGAAAGTGTTACATGTAAATGCCTTTCCCAATGACACAGTGTCCAGCCAGGAATCGAACCCGCAACCTCTCAATCTCGCGTCCGCAAGCCAGCCTAGCTATCGGCCATTCGACGTACCTTTTACATGGGTTTTAACCTCAGGAAATATCGAATCTACGTTTGGATATAATGATTATCGGTTGGTTGTAGGATGGTCTAATTAGGGCGTTGGGATACAGAAAACCATTGAAAAATCTCAAATACATATGAAAACCTCACTTTCCGTGGCTGGCATCTATTTAATCATAAGGTACGCACCGTTCCCTCGTTGGTCGAACCGCTAATTGTCGTGCTACCATTGGTCGGCCTGCTAATTGTGTTGGACATCAACGGAGTTGCTATGTGTTTGACACAGAAGTAAACAACACACCCCACAGGTCGATATTTTGAGCAGGAAATTAACAGTAATTCCGTTTGTAAGGCAATCTTTTACTATTTAGTCTGTACTGTTTTAATTTGTCCGGACTACCTAATTAGTTTTGCTTTTCTTAAATACCCGTAGGGTGGTCACTGTTTCTTTGCTTTCTTAAGTTCCCAACTTTCTCACGACTGTATGCATTGGGTGATGAAGAAAGGTTAACTAGGTCCCTTGTTTACAATATCACTAGTGATTGGCCCCTTTCGAAAAACTGATTGTTGACATATTTCTTGTTAAGCAGAACTTTAACGAAGTTTCTGATCCAAGATGTTTATCTAAATTCTTTTTCAAGTCACGTTTTGCGACATACATGACCTAGAAAAGCACAAAGGGAGACTATACTCCTCTTATGCATATTCATCTCTGCGGGATATTAGATCAGAGTTTTTTTTAGAAATGATATTATGAATCTGTGTATGGGGAGCTTCGGGCGTAAGATCTTTGGTCGTACCTCTACATGTTTAAGAGCCCAACACACCTACATAGTAGAGTAGCGGAGCCCCACATTGCACTACACGTGCTGAACATTTCACCATTTTGCAAAAACTGTTGTGCGTGCAGAAGCCAACAGGAGGCGCTGCGAGGAGGAGTTGATCAGCATCATTCCAACCATGACCAGGAGCGTCATCAACCTAAACTTGTTGGAGGCCATCCGAAGGGCCATGCGCACTGTCATCGACGACCGTTTCAACCCCCCAGACGAGGTGACACCATCACCCATTCAGGACAGTGGATTTAGGCCCCCTAGTACGTATAAGTTTTTTGTTACAAGGAGAACAGTTTTTTTTAGTTCGCAGCTGTAACTCACGATCCGTTTGCTGCATTGGTATGTCGTTTGCAAGCATTCGTGGGATGATTAACATTACTAGTATTACAGATATATCATGCAAATCAGTGCCTCATTTACATATCTTACGATATGCTACGATAGCTTTTATTGGTAATTATAATAAGATGAGACTTTCATACTTAGAACCGTTGAACGTTTCTTCTTTGGGTCTGTGTCTTTCTTTGCACCTATAAATCAAGATCCTTTTGAGGGATTTGTCTGAAGAGGGAGGGCATCAAGCACCTTAGCCACGTGCACATTAGCACCTTAGCCATCGTTGTTGTTGTTGTTGAAAATACTGTGTTTCATGTCATAGCGTCGACATGAGTTTGACCGTAATTATTTCTTACCAAGTGACTGATAGGACCAATATTTCGAGTAAAATCTCGGAACTAGTTCTGTCTTGTAAACTAATTTTCCAACTGCCCTGTGTTTTCCCGAAGTCCGCTTTCGACGGGCTCCAGTGGCGGAAGTTAACGTCATCGACTACTCGGTAATATTTTCTACTTGAATTTTCCGATCAAAATATCATAAATCTCTATCTAACTACCAAGAGGAAAACTTGATAGCTGCTTATCTTTAGTTACGGAAGTAAAGTTATGGTGGGTTTTGCACATTGATTAATCGGTATTGCCATTTCTGATCTTTCCGGCCACCTACGAAGCCTGGTAGAGGCAATAGTATACGTGCGAACCCAGTCTTTTTGGCAGGGTGTACTAAAACTAAAAGTCAGGCTGGCACCCAGACTATTTCCCCGGCACTCACACAATTCAATGCCGCACAGCACCTCTGTCCAACCGGGGTGGCGACGTCCGAAGCCCTGCTGGCGCTGGGAGAGGCTATCGGGCGGTCCGCGATGGAGTATGACGAAATGCGGCAGATCGTGGTGGACATGAAGGCGGGGAACTGCCCATCCAGCATCGACTTGGAGGCGGCCGTGGAGGGCAGTAAGTTTGCAACCACCAATCGTATTAGTTCACTTAAGCTTCTGGGCATGGAAGTATTGTTTTGGGTGGCTGAGGCGTGGGTTTACTAGTATGACCCAATAGCTTCGGGTTGCATGATGGGTGGGAGGAGATTTTGACAGTTGATTGATAGGGAGGTCACGCCTGAAGGTGACCAGCACGCGACAGGTGAAAGTAAGTGGGTAGTATGAGGAGGAATTCGGGAAATAACTCCCCAACTGGGACTACACCCACTTTGGACTTGCCGCAACAAGATCTCTGTCGGCAAGGTTCCTAGATCTAGCCCCCTTGCCTTGTTTGTCAAATCATCTATTCAGTCGTTAATCAATAAATTCGCAAAACTCTTAGTTTAGCAATAAAAAGTACTTCCTGGAAGTTTGAGATTTTCTTGTTGTGACATTGACCAGAGGCCAGCGAGCAGCCCGCCAAACTGCCGGTGGACTGTGGTGACATGAAGCGGGTGGTACAGATGTACATCGACTCCTTCACCAAGCAGCTGCCGGAAGTGGGCAAAACTGTGGGGGACAGCCTGCTGGAAATGCTGCCCGAGGAAGGTGGGAACAGCACAGCACATGTTCAGCTGTTGGAACACAGTGCTGTCCAGTATATTGACAGGACGCACTGCGCCTGTGTGAAACTAGCAATTTATTGCGCAAAGCACTTCAGTAGAATTTCTCGTTTAAGGTTATATTTCCGAATTTATGGATGACTTTCCGTCCATAGTTTCAAATGTTGTGATGTACCATCTGCAACGGGTCAAAATTTTGATGCAAAGTTGACCAAAACATCCAACGAAAATTCGTCGTTAAAAAAATCCGGTTTTCTCTCCGACACAGTACGTTCTGCCAACACTATTTGTAAATTCCAACACCCCGCTCGTCCATGTACAGTATTTCTTAATTTCGAATCAGGCAATTCTTGAAGAATAGCCAATGCGCAGGTGTCATTTATATGGCTATGATTTCAGTACGTAACTAAATAATAATCATTGTGACCTAAAAGAGCCCATTGCCTCAATCGATTCCTGTAACTCAGCGCTGTTTCATCCAAGCTCCTTTTTTCTCTCCCAGAATGGTGCACCGGGTTGGAAATCGGCACCACCTGCTACTACTTGACGGGCTCCCAGCTGCCGTTCAGCCTGGCGCAGTCCAACTGCGAGATCAACGGCGGGAGGATGGCCATGATCAAGGATCCGTCCAACTTTAACGCCGTCCGGGTAAGACGTTAGTCTTCATTTGTTTCTTTGCCATAAGGCAATGTTGATATGATTATATGGATGACATCCACTGGGAACCCCAAAACGGACGCGAGCGTGCGAATAAAAAAAAGAGTTTCGGCCCAAAAGTTGCCCTAATTATGACGATTATTCTACGTGGTCATGAAGGTTGAACAGATGACTTACTGAAACACAAAGAGTATGATGCGGCGAATAATAGACTCTAAGCTTCATTTTTATTTCTTCACATTTTTTTCGTTTCCTTTGGAATTGATTTTGACATTCTACGACAGTAGTATCGTTTTACAATCTTTTTCAATTTATGACATATATTTGGACATTCTGCAGCTGCTTTGTACGATTTACAGCATGGTCGGAAACTTTTTTCGGGAAACAGATAAAAAATCAAATATTTGTTTTTGCCATTTCCGGCACATACTAGTAGTTGGACATTTCCCAGAATCCTGCCACTAATTTAAATGTGCTTGTAAAGTTTCTTGACCGCCTCGTTGGTTTGTGTTGTTATTTTCCTGCAGTGTTTTAGTAAACAAACAAATATATTGTGCGTTCCAGTCGTTCCTGATGTCCCTGTCCGTCGGTGATGTCTGGATCGGGGCGACTGACTACGATGGTGACATGACGTTCACCTGGCTGGACGGCACACCTATGGTCGAGGGGGACTGGGCAAGCGGTGAGGATTTACCGTTTTCAAACTTTTACATCAACAGACATGTTCAAAGACAACATACTATTAAGTAAATTCTGTTCCTCAGAATATATACCTAACCTCCAAAACAACGAAGTATTGCTAAGAAATGTCTTATTTTACTTTAATTCACGCCGATGATCCCTCTACTTCGTAGCCCTAACTCTTTGATGGTACAAGTATAATAAACAAAACTTCTCTGACGGGAGCATCCCCCCCCCCCTTCGTTAATACTTATACTTCTGGGTACGGAAGAATCGTTTTGGGTGGCTGTGTTGTGGGTTTGTGTCTCTGTTTGTTCTGATAGTTGGTGGGTGGGAAGTGATTTCAACAGTTACTTGATAATATGGGAACGCCAGGCCTGAAGGTGACCAAACATTCCCTGGGTGGAATTTAAAGTGGGTAGTATGTGGAGGAATTCAGGAAGCAGTGCAATAAAATCAAATCACATCATACAATCACTTCGGGAATTACTTTATACCAAGACCTAAAACACTTCCTGGAGGTCTGGAATCTTTGATTTCTTGTTCATAATGTGGAGCTGCTATGGAAACAATGGTGCAAATAATAGATTAAAAGTATGGTTTCTGAAATGAAAAACGTTAGATTGTTGCTAGTGTTTCCTACTAGTAACTCAGTTGTTTTTTTCCAACAGGTGAACCCAACAATGCTCAGCAGATGTGTGCTCAGATGTGGAGATATGCCCGCCTGCAGTGGGACGATGACTACTGTGATAACCACAAGAACGTCCTGTGTTTTAAAGAAAAGCCACAAGATTAACAACACTCCCAGTCAGATAGATCAGACTCATCTGAGGAATGATCTTGTTGATGAGGCTATGTTAGTGTGCCGCTTGTGTGTGTGTGTTTGTTTAAGTGTGAACAGGATGACTTGATAAGACTTTTTACCATCTTTTGTTGTTTGTTTTGCATAACCAGTAAACCACCTGCAGTCATAACACACCAGTTTTGTGAAGTAGCTACCATCTAGGTAAGAAAGGTCTGTAAGGTTTGATCCACTCACACTGGGAAAGACGCTACTCTTTTCAATACATGCAGTGAATCTTAAACACACTTGAGGCGTGCCTCTTTTCAAACACAGGACCTCCAGCTTCAAATCCCATCTAAAAGGACGTCTATGTACTCATTTTAACCTGATTTGAATGAAGAAAAAGTGCCTGTCACAATGGCACAACATTTGGGCCTGCTATAGGGATTCGAACCCAGAACCTTAAGATTGTAAGTCAACAACCAATCCTAACCACCAAGTGACCTTACTAAATATATGTAGGAGATTAGGACTATGTTTGCATAGATGATCAGGAAATATTGTAATAAAATGACTGTGAGTCAATTCACCTAATGACCATATGTATATGTGTGTGTGTGTTGAAGACTAACATTATTTTGATCACTGTGACTTTGAAGATTTTTAACTATTTTTAACTAATAAGTGTGTTTTGCAAATGTTATGATTTGAAGCAAACATACACGTATGAACCTATCATGTGGATCAACACAGGTTAGTGTAGTCAATAACAAATACATGTTAGCACTCAACAGATTTTGATTTGTCAACAATATTTGAAGGGAAAAGCCTTTCATTCATTCTACATTCCTAATGTCTTAGAGCTTTAACTTCACCTAATTAAATAAAGTGTGAGGAAAAACAAAAGTGTTGCTTCAGTATTTCAATGTCCATGTATTGACCTTTAGGACTCCAGGGTACCAGTATGCAAGCATAAAACCAGAGCTGTGTGGCACCTGTAAGCAACCAAAGGTTAAACACTCTAGGACAACATGTTACATGACATTACATGTAGCTGGAGTTACATGCTGTTTGGTGTCACATCGATATCTTTCATACTTATACGGCTTTCCGGTTCCATAAAGAGCAGAATGTTTCTCTTAAAGATGCTCTTTGTAAGATTGGCTTGAATTCTAATAACACTTTTTGCGAAAGGCAATTAATTCATATAAATAAAATATACAATACAATTTCAAAGCAGGAAGATTTCTCAAACAGTATGTGAAATCTTACTGTGCAGCCAGCAACAATGTCTATAGTCATATTCAAAGTGACAAGCATCTCTTTTGGCCATTCAGCAATAATACGTGCAAGATTGAACTTCAGATACAGTTATGGGTTTTCTTGTAATTAGTAATCCTTCAGAAGACTCTTCATGATACTGACGGAGGAACTTCGGTAGCTTGATCCAAAGTGATTCCTGAAAAACACGGAAGTCACATGTAATCAACAAACTTGAGTGAAAAAGAGCTATTCTTCTACTGGTCTTGAAAGAGAAGACAGGACTGGACTACTCATGCTAGGATTATTGAATTAACCTCAGGTTTATGGTAAATGTGGGAAAATACCAATTACAATAAGTGTAAGCAATAGAATGTCTATCCGTGAATAGTTTCATCAGGTTGGTAAGTCACCGAGTAAAGAGACTCTTTTTACACAACCAAGTCAGCCAATGATTCGGTGACCGTCTGTCACCTTCCTCAAGGCAATTCTGACTGGTTTACATTGCACTGCAGCACAGGTGTCACATTACTCAATAGAATGTCTAGTTTGTGATAAGATGATACTTCGTACTCACCAGTGATTCAGGTAGTGGAAGAGTTTGTACAGTTCATGCCTGGCCTCCCAGCCTGAGGCTTTAGGAAGAACTTTGTGGTATGCTGAGAAAAACTTTCCTCCGAATCCTCCAAACATGGAGGCTATGGCCATCTCATACTCATGGTGGCCATAGAAGGATGCTGGGTCAAATATGACTACATAGAAAAAAACAACACATATCAGGGCCTGAATGATTTTTCAAAGGTAGGAAAGGTCATGCAAATAAACTTCATTGCACAACAATTATACAATGAACAGTGGATCACGGCTAATGACCTATCCTAAGGCCTAGGAAAAAGAATGTTCTGTTTCTTGTTTCCTGACTGACCATAGAAAAAATCCCTACCTTCTGATTGTAATTTTTTTCAGGACTGAAACAGGAAACACAACATCATGTTTTTCCTAGGCCTAAGGACTGTGGCTCTTTCCAGTAATGTGCAAGTTGGGATGAGCAATAACAGCCAGGATTCGAACTCTTCCCAGTAGTGTGCAAGTCAGGACAGGTCAGAAGTTGAAGTCACAACCTGTTGGTCCAGAGCATGTGTTAATCCCTTTTGGAGACATAATACTAATAGATAACTTCTTAACACTGTCTAATTGATTAATGTATGCATGTACCTAAAAAATCTGTCAAAGAGATCATTATGAAAATGACTCTGACCTTGAAATGCCACTTACCTGGTCCTTTGCTGTTCTCGGCTGCGTTCCCTCCCCAAAGGTCGCCATGCAGCAGTGATGGGGTCACCTTCACACCCTCAAAAAACTTCGGCAGCTTCCGCTCCAGCTGGGGCCAAAGGTCACGGGTCTCTTTATCATGGTACTGGTGAGACAGGAGGCAGTAGGTTAAAGTTCAAGGTTCATAGTCCAATTAACAAACAAACAAACAAACCAACAAACAATCAAGCGATAAGTCAAGGAAAACTGAATTTTCTTCTAGGAAAAAGAGATAATATTCCATGGTAAGAACACCAAATTAAATGGTATGATTCTCAATATAAAGTGGTAAGTACAGATCACATGAAGTGAAATGGCAGCAAAAGACTGGAAAAACTCACATCTTTCTCCACCAGGTCCAACTGGAGTTTCAGTTTCCTAGTTGCATAGAAGGACTGAAAAGAAATACAACACTTTTTAACATTACTAATTCAGAATATTACAGTAATAAATTATATGACAGGTCCAGATATCAATAGAATATGTTATGATGCCAATATTTATTATAAACTTTGATGTTTAGTATGCTATGTACATGTACTTGAAGTACATTAAACTTTCATAAAAAGTTGAAAGTCAGAAGTGACAAGTAACCATATGAAAAAAAAGGGTAAAACATACTACAGTGTACGTACCACCCAGTCGTCTGACCATGAGTTGTCCTGGGGGATAGCTCCACAGCACGTGGCCGTGTGGAACCCAAACTGTGAAACGTACGCCGGCGACGCGTCCCCGCCCTGTCCAACTCTGGACGAACCGGCCGCTTGCCTTTTTTGGCCACCTCTTCATTGTGGAGATGTAGTCTGTATTACATTATAGGAGGAGGACAAGGAGAAATTGTCAGATCCTTTGGAGAGTATGTAAATATTGAGATTTGAAGGTTTTGGAGACCATGGATAAAAAGAAGAACAAAAGGACAGCATTTTAACCTCCAGCCTGCTAAGGTAGCCATCTGGCACCAAATTTGTATTGGTTACAGGGTTAGGTAGCAGGGAGAAGGTTAAAAAGGTCTATTATTGTACCTTGCCATTTGTTCTCCCAACTGGTCAGCATATGACCTCAGGCCTCCCATGTCCAGATGTTCCATAATCAACATGGCTCCTCTCCCTCTGGGGTCATCTAAAACCTGAATTCGAAGAACAAGTTCATTAATAACTTTATCATAATTGATTGAAGACATGATTCGCTATTATATAATAGTACAGTTAGTTAGTCCAGTACAACTCTGAAAAATCAAACTGAAATGATATTAATAACCTATACATGTATTAGTCTTCAAAGGGCAAAGAGAACAATGCAGCATGCTAATCATGTAAGAGGTAGATAGATGAGTTGGAGAGAGGGAACAAAAGAGAGACAATAAAACACCAGACCTTGATAGGTTTCGGCACTGTTACTGTACCAGTGGCTGCTATGGCCTCCAGGCTGGCATATTCTCCTTTAAACATCACTCTAGCCTGGAAAGCAAGAAAGTCAGTAAACATACTGTTGCATCCTGTGGCACAATAGCCAGATCCCAGGTGCCATCATTTGACATGCGTGATGCTGTGGCCTTGTGAAAGGCACTTTACATGACTTTTCTTTGATTTTGTGTTTCCAATGTATACCAAGAACAGCATCTCTGAACATAAATTTTTTTTCTAAACATAGATTGCACAAAAAAACACGTTAAGTCTGTAAAAAAGAGACGGATAGCACCAAAATTAATTGTAACCAATTGGTAATGGCTGCGAGCCTGCTGTCCCTTACCCCCTTATCACCATTCATCTTGACAAAGAACCTCCCGTGATCGGTCTCGTACCCTTCGCCGTGGTTGATACAGCCACCGCCGCCCCCGATGGGCCGCAGTTTTGTCGTGTTCAACTCTCTCTTCAGGAGATCCTCCATGGCGCTGGTATGGATGGAGACCTTATCTGTTGAGGAAAGAGAGTTCAGAAACATTGGTAGACACAAGTTACAAATGTATGATCAAATGTGTTAACCATATATATTGTTGCTTTACTAGCTTTACGCATACACTTATACGCTGGTTCATGGTTTGCACTGTGCATGCAAAAGATCAAGGGTGACAAATGGATGAAGGCCTCAAACTTCAGAAGTAATTTATAATAATATCAAGGAGGCTAAAAATCTCTGATTACATCAAATCATCATACACAGCTTTGTGTGTTGCAATGTACAATTCACAAGGGACTTGGGATTTCACAAAGAGCATGAAAGAAGAGATCCTTTTATCAGTTGATCTTAAAGGTAATACAAATATATACAATATCTAACTGTCTCATCTGATCATATCATGATATCAAGGCCTTCCACATTAAAACGATCGTATGAAAACATTGTCCAAAACAAATATAAGGCCTTAATTCTTGTAAAACAACTTAACAAGGTACGATGATGTAAATTGATTAAATTGATTGTTTGAAACAATCACCGAAATTTTATAAAATTTAGAACCCGCCCCGCCCCCTGTCTCTTTCTGCAAGAATAACATTTCCTGGTTTAATTTCCTGACAAAATTTGCATGATGCCGATTCAAATAAGAACTCAAATGAACACACAACGTCTACGAAGTCCCTTACCTTGCGATTTCGTTGTTAGACAGCGACTCAGTAACGTTAACCTGTAAACCAGAGCTAAACTCATCAACTCATCAGCTGAACCAAGATGTGACCTTTGACATATCACCGGCGGGATGGGTAGCATCTAAACAACAGTGACTGCTGAAATTATGATACTTTCCCCTTAAATTCTTGCGTATTTTCATACGTAACCAATGGAGAAATGATGAAAACTCTATGTTATATTTTAGATGTTATTTGTTTATTTGCTTTCAAGGAACTTTATATATTGTGAAAATTACTAAATCTTACGTCCGGATGCGTTTTGTTGCCGTGTTAATCGCTCGATCGGCTTCACTTCCGGGTAGCACCACAAAGAACTGATCTTGACTGTCTTAATCTTTGCAAATTTACCAGTTTTCTTCGCTAAGTATAATGTCTCAGTCCAGCGATCCCTCCTCCCCAGCTCAGGCGGCGTCAGAGGCCATGTCCGCCGACTCTCCGAAGGATGCGGCCGCCGAGAAGCAAGATCCGATCCCTTGTAGTAAAGCAGGTAACTATGACTGGCATAAAATGATCTATAAAACTGATCCGTCCAGAAAAAAGTAGTTCTCCAGATTTTCCTGCTCTATTTTTCAATTTATTTGCCTAATTAGTAGAAGAAAAAGCCTGAGGCAATCTACATCTACATCAGAATACTGGCGTAATACATTGGACTAGAAAGTTATTAGCCTATGATAGGATATTTTTGTCTTATTCATAAATTATAATTCAAGTGGTGTGGAGGCTAGACCTAATGGTCCAAGGTATGCACATGATCCTGTTTTTCTATTGATTACCGGTAATTCAGGTTTGCAACAATAAGTAAACACGGCAGGGTAACCGGATGCAATGTTTTCATGGCTTCTGTTCAACTTATAATAATAATAATAATACTGATAATAATACTGATAATAATACTTAATAATACTTAATAATAATACTGATAGTTGCAACTCCACAAAGGAGCTTTGATACCCACATCATTATACCAGAACCATCATGGAAGTGTAATAGATATAATTAATGATCATCATGTTTATCTATTGAATTTATTTCTTTTTTTCAGCTTTGTGCAGGCAGGGCATGAATGAGTGTAACGTTAAATGTACCAAAAATATAATTTTTATTTTATTTTACAGGTGTACCCATGGAGGTTCTTGCTAAGCTGCAGTCCAACTTTGAAGCTGACCTAAAAACAGGCTGGCACAGAATGTGGCGACTGCAAACGACCTTCTCTCTGTGTGTCTGAATCGGAAGGTCACCAGTCAGATCAACCACGTCTTCCAGCACAAGATTCCAGCAGAGGGGAAGCCGATGACCAATCAGAAGAACTCTGGCAGGTGTGAGGCAAACTAGATAACCAATCACATACCAGATATCCTCACTCCTAATGCTTGCTTTAAACAAGCCAATAACCAATTAGAAGAACTCTGGAAGGAGTGAGGCCAACTAGATAACCAATCACATACCAGATAACATTATTCAGAGTAGACACTGTAAATTGGAAGCTTGGTTTGTTGGTTGTTTTTCAAGAGTGAAGACTACGGTACATCAATAAATCTTGAATGAAATCTGAAATCTTGAAAGTTAAGTCACTTTAGTTTTTTTGTCAGAGACTTACCTCCTTTTGTTCCCTTTCCCCCACAGATGTTGGATCTTTGCCTGTCTGAATGTTCTGCGGATTCCCTTCATCAAGAAGTTTGAGCTGGATGACTTTGAGTTCAGCCAAAACCACCTTTTCTTCTGGGACAAGGTGAGGGATTGTGTGTGCAGATATTGATGTAGCAAATTCTAATTACCTCCATGTAAATGGGGGTATTGTTTTTACTCCGTTTCATGTTTGGTCTGATATCTGAAGATCGGTGAGAAGGAACTGTATGATATTTGGCAGATTGATGGATGGGGCCTTGGAGATTGTGTAGGTTGACTTTGAGCACCTGGTGATTGACCTTGGTACTGCAGTTTAATTTTCTATTCTATTGTTGGCACGTTATGGTCCGTGTGTGCGATGCTAAGGTAGCATGTAGTTGTGGTTACAATGGTTTAGTGATGTAAATTTGGGCCCCCTAGCTGTTTGCTTTGAACCGGAATTGCTATCTCAATGTCAGATTGTTTGCGTTGAATGATCTCAGAACCCGGTGGATGGTTGGCGATCAGTTTTGGTATGTGGGTAGACGCTGATTGTCTTTGCGTTTTAGCGTGCATTAGCAGGTTGTCGTAGATTTGCATTGCTTATTTAAAAGGATTTTCACATTTTCACCCCTATTTCATAATAGGATGGTCTGTTTGACCCCAAATTGGTACAGAGTGTTTTTGTTTATACCTCCAGCTGGCAGGTCAGGCCAATCTATTTTTACCTCTAGACCATTTCTGCAGGAAATATATCTTATCTTTAATCGGTCATTCAGCAGGGAACTGGGTCATCTGTGGTTTGTTAATATGTTGTGCTTGAGAGGTCATTGACCTCAAACAAACCATGGTAACAAGACACTAAACGCCTGCACATGACAGCTTGGGCAACCCCTTCCAATACGAAGTGCCACAACAAAATTCTTAAAGGATAGACATCTATAGACATCTATCATTCTGCTGATAAAAACAAAGTTTGACTCATAATATCTCTATTAAAATACACCAAAAGATTACAAAATAACAAGCTATTTCATGGAGGGACGATATCTACGACTTCTCCTTGTTAAACCTATTTCAACCACCTGACTTGCAAGGCCTCATGAAAACATGATTATGGGCATTTATGATGATTTGTGATAATTTTTACAATGATTTTTGAAATTTCTTTCACAGATTGAGCGAGCAAACTACTTCCTTAACGCCTACGAGGAGTGTGCAAAGCGTAAGGAGCCCGTCGACGGTCGTCTGTTCCAGTTCCTCCTGGCCTCGCCCAACCCCATGAATGACGGCGGACAGTGGGACATGCTCATCAACCTCATCAACAAACATGGCGTCATGCCCAGGAAATCCTTCCCAGAGTCCTTCAGTGCTACAGCTTCCAGGAGACTGAACCAAACCTTAAACTACAAGGTCAGAAAAGATTTTATCTCTATAGCCTCTATTATCACCATTTATCCGCCGAGTATGAAAAATGTGTCTAAAGGGATCTCCAATGCAATGTCAGCCTGAATATAAACCTCAAAGTTACTGCTTGCTACTCACTTAGGGGTAAAAATATACAAAGTATATTAA